ATTGAAATAAGTGATGAAAATAGTAACGAGAAGCCTTCCAGTTCTTTGGTATGAACATGAAAGTAGGCTAATTTAGGGGATGATCATGGATTTATAAACCAAGAATACTCTATCCATTTGGTTTGAGGCCTTTTGGGGAGGCTCAAAGCAAAGTCACGAGAGCTTACGCTCAAAGTGGACAATATCATACCATTTGTGGAGAGAGTCGTGTTCGTCTAACACATCTAACCTTCCCTATTTTCGTCGTAGACATTTGTTATAAATTTGAAAATGGTTTGAAAGAGTGAATATTAGAAAATGGAAGAGTACTATATTCAATCATTTATGGAAGGAAAAATTATTGGCAGAATATAATGCCAAAAAGGGATTTCCACTGGGAAAAAAATCAAATCTTTATGATTTTTTTTGGGAAAAAAAAGAGGGAGAGATCCAAAATGGAGAAGGAAGGATGTGATGTCAAGTGTTTGAAGGATGTGATATAAATGGTGGAATTCAATTTCCAACACACAACAAACATTGGTCCTTTTGAAACACATTATTCTAAATTAATGTCCTATGCCCCTCTCTCTGCCTCATAAGGACAACCCAATTCATATTGTTCTTAAGTCTTACTTCAATCATTTTTAATACTCCTTCCATAATCTTTTCCTTTTTAACTTAGTAAATAAGGTAATATATTGGCCCAATTAAAAATAGAGATATCTATTTAACCCGCTCCACATATATTTTTGGAAGACTATAATATAATATTATTGAATTTGTTACCATTTTTATATTTCAAATAGAAATTATGTTAAAAAAATTAAAAAACTATCCTATATTTGTAGCTAATAGGTAAACTTATAAAAACAAAATTTAATAAATAATTTAAAAAAAGAAAAAAAGACAGAAATAAAACAAATAAAAAAAAAAGAGAGGGTAAATAAACATGGTGGAGAAAAAAAAAAGAAGAAAATGGCGATAAGATAGGGGGTGTTTGGACGCAGAAATAGGGACACACTGAAAATGAAAAACAAATTTAAAAAAAGAAAAAAGAAAAAGTCTGATTGGTGGAAGAAAAGAAAAGGCTTCCAATACCTAAGTGATTTTCCATCACTAAAATATCTATTTTTGAGATATTAATAATAATAATAATAATAATAATAATAATAATAATAATAATAATAATAATAATAGGTTAATTTGGGATTTATCCATTCACCATTCAATTTCTTCCACAAATATATTATCTTAAATATCTGTGGAAATTGAAAAAGGGTTGGGGGTGGGGGTGGGGGTGGGGGCGGGAGAGTGACGCGTGTACGTGGCAAAGAAAATCCTCAGCCACAAGATTGAGAACCACTTTCTGGAGGATTCCATGTGGAATTAATATGTGCGTCTGACGTGTCACCCCTTCGCTTTTTCTTCTTCCTCTTCTTCTTCTTCCCCTCCCTTCTTCTTCTTTCATTATTATGCCCTCTCTCTCAAGTCTCATCTCCTCTCCCTTCCTCTTCATCTTCTTCTTCCTCCAATCTCTCCATTTCTCTGCTTCTTCCTCTTCCTCCTTTCTCTGCAATCGCCTTACCAGGTTTGTTTTCTCTACTCTGCGTCTCTTTCTCCATTGTTTTCTTTCTTTTCTTCTTCGATATGTTCTTCTGGTGTTTACTAGGTTTCTGGAGAAGTGAAGAGTTCCACAACTTTATGAATTCCAGGATTGTTGATTCTGATGATTCGTTTAGCCTCTGCTGAGCCTTTTCAATTTTAATTTCAGGTCCTTGTTTTGGCGGACTGAGACTACTATACCTATATTTCCTCCCCGGTTTTCTTGCCACTGCTGATGGCTGTCCAGGTAAATCCTTCACACCGCTTTTGTTTACGTTTTCTGCACCTCTTAACTTTTCTTGGAAATTTTTTTCTCCCAAACTTGATTGATTGGTTGGCTATGTCTCTGTTTGGATTTGAGTACTGAATTCCTGATTTTCAGTACTCAATTCTCACTTCTTGGGTTTTCTTTAGTAACCTTCTTCTTGTTGTTTACTGAGTAATTGACACAAAAACTTGTCCTTTAGCTTTTGTTGGTTGAGTACTCCTACGGACTTTGCTTTTGTTTTATTGCCCAATATATTGAGCTATGTTGTATTGTTACCAGGGCTATGATGTTACATTTATGAAATGGGTTGCTGCTAATTGATGATGGGATTCTACAGCTCCACCAGTCAGTTTCTTGTGGTCTCTAACTTTCTTATTTCAACATGGAATGCAGGAAAAGAATGATGGCACGCTGTCAAACAGCTCAATTGGAGCTAACAATTGCCTTTCTAGTGATGGGACACAACTGGATCCACTGATGCGCGTTAGCTCCCTATGTTCCTATGGGAATGAAAGTTCATTGAAGGTAACCTAATTAACTTCTGCAATTTCTCAATTCTCCTATTTTGGAAGGATTTGGGTTTGAGTTCAGGCACTCTAATGTATGAACAGGTTAGGAAGCCCTACACTATTTCAAAACAAAGGGAAAAATGGACAGAGGAAGAGCATCAGAGGTTCCTTGAAGCTCTGAAACTCTATGGTCGTGGCTGGCGTCAGATCAAAGGTAAGGCTGTCTGAAATTAGTTATCTAAATCTGGTGTTTGCAATACCCAACCCATCATTTAGCGCGCTACCTTGATCTTCCTGCAGAACATGTAGGTACCAAAACAGCTGTTCAGATCCGAAGCCATGCTCAGAAATTTTTCTCTAAGGTCAAAAATGCGCTTTGTTTTAGTAACCCCCCAAACTAAGAATCATTACCAAACAGAATATAATTTAGGATGATAGTGGATTTTTCACCAAAATAGATCGTCACCAAACCCTTTACGCTATTTTCTTACACACTTTATGACCAAACATTCCCACACTCAACTTTTATTTTGTCTGTGTTTCAGGTAGTGCGAGAGCCTAGTGGCAGCAATGACAGCTCCATTAACCCAATTGAGATTCCTCCACCTCGACCAAAAAGGAAACCACTGCATCCTTACCCTCGTAAAGCAGTCGATTCTCTTAAGGCAATTTCAGTTGCAAGAGAACCTGAGAGGTCTCCATCTCCAAACCTATCAATTGCCGAAAAAGAGACCCAATCGCCCACCTCCGTACTGACTGCGTTCAGTTCGGATGATCAAATTTCTACGGTTTCGGAGCAGCATAATAGATGTTCATCACCTATTTCACAAGCTGTTGACATACAGTCAACTAGATTGCCCTCTGTTAGGAAAGGGGAGATGTTATTGCTCGAATCATCCTCCGAGCGGTTCCCAGAAGACTTTCTTACTCTGGTAATTTGAAATGTCCTTTTAATCTTCCACTTCATTTTCCTTTATGCACTTTACTTGACATCTGGGATCTGACTCTTTTTCTTTTTCTCTCTTTCCTAAACATTCAGAAATCCAAGCCAGGATCAGCATCTAAGAAATTAGACAACAAGTTGCATTCTCCTGTTAAAAGCATAAAGCTTTTTGGAAGAACAGTAATGGTTGATGATGACAAAAAACCATCCTTACATGATTTTGAAGTAACTAAATCGTTGGTACTTGATGGTGAGAGTAAGAATGACTGTGGAGTGTATGCTGAGAAGCCTGTTCAGATGCTACCTTCAAAACATATGGATGTAGATTTATCTCTTCGGATAGATAACAATGGTGATTGGAATATGTCACCTGGTGGAGCACCTACTAACAACACCGCACTGAATCAGGAGAATAGTGTCCTTTATGTTGAGGCGATTGCTAATGCTCCTCAAACTTGTTGGTCTTTGTATCAAAGTGTACCATATTTTTACCTTGCTCCACCTGATCAAACTAACCAAGTTATGGAAGAAAGGATGCAAAATGACAATTCTGTAGAAAGTTCGTGTGTGGATTCATGTTCTGGCTCCTCGAGTAAGGATAAGAATGAAAACCAGAGCCCCGAATTCGAATGTCAAGACCCTTGTCTGGTAGGAAGAGGTAATAGAAATGAAAGTAAGAAGGGGTTTGTGCCTTACAAGAGATGCTTGGCTCAGAGAGAGGCAAGCTCTTCGTTCATTGTTTCAGAAGAGAGAGAAGGCCGGAGAGTTCGAGTTTGCTTATAGCCTCTGCAAAATTACAGTGGAACTCGATCAGCAACAGATTTAAAGTCGATAAAAGGAAATGACCAAGATGCTTTGACATGGGTTTCTGAGTTTTTTTTTTCTCTTTAGCTTGAGATGAAAAAATGGAGGCCAAACTTGTAGCATGTAATATCTAAAGTAGCAGGAGGGGCGAAGCCTATAAGGGGTTGCGCAACAACTTCTATCCTGTCTATTCCTGGGTATTTGAGTGACAATTAATCAACCTGTAAAACAAAACGGTGTTGCTCTTTGACTTCTTAACATATTTGCAGATCTTCTTAACATATTTGCAAATTTTGATCCTTCAGCGAAGAGAGTGAACCTATCTTTGAAGAAACTTGATTTAGCTCCCTGGTGGAAATAGTCTAATTTGAAGGCATAAAAAGTCGAGCAGTCTAATATTCGATCTTCCTGAAAGTTAAGAATGAAGGCACTTAAGGGGAAAAAGAATCCACCTTCAAAGCATCCATTCAGTGGCAAGCAATCTTAAACTTTTATGCATAACATACACAAAATAAATAGAATGGTCGCATTTTCAAGCATATAATACACATTCAAAGTACTGAAAAAATCTCTTTATTTAAGGATGAAGGAAAAACTTTGCAGGTACCTATGATTACGGGGGGAACGATCCTCTATCTCCAAGAGGAATCATTGACTTGTTCTTGAGTAGACTATGCTAAAAGGAGATTTAGAAGGGACAGTGGGCCTCTCCTTGTATCGAATTATGTCCCACATTCTCACGAGTCCATGTCTAGTACCCCTAAAAGTCCTCTCTGGTATCCCCAAGGCCATCTGAATATTATTCATCATTTCAGCATTCTTGTCCCCTTTTACAACCTGTGATCTTTGACCATATCTCATGTCTCAGAAGTTCATGTTTGGTTAGCTGATCCACTTGACCAATCTCCAATATTAATATCAATTAATTTCAAGAGATAATATGACTCCTGAAACACACTGACTATATATCATACGGACAAGATAAAGCTTACTCACATCAACAACAATAACGCAAAGCCTGTCCATATATATTATATATGTTTTCCTAAGAGAAAGTACAGCACTTCAGAAAATGAATACCGGGGAAACAATTTTCTCTATGGGCTAGAGTTTTCTTTAAGACCTTGGCGAAGCTCCCATTTGGACTTTGCAACTTCCACAAATATTACCCTGCCATCCAGAAACTAAACCAAAGTTGCCCCTATTAGCTCAGGAAGTTATGAGGCTTGAAACTAACATGCACCAATAAATTTAAGACAACAGGATCATCAAAGATCAAAAAGAAAGAAAGAAAGAACCATGAGCAGATGGCAGAGTTCATACCCTCCAGCTATATAAGCAAAGTTTTAAAAGTAGCCTTTTCCTCTAGCAGGTGGCATCGGAATTTTATCCATGGAATCAGAGATAAGAATATCATATCAATTCATGTTTGTCAATGAGAGGAGGTGGGGAGGTTATATCCATTAAATAAACCTCAGAATAAGTTCTTTGACTATTAACTTCTACAAATATAGTTGCCACAGAGTGCCTCATATTTAACATATTTAACAGTACTTTGGCCAATTCTGAAACGTGTATACACGAATTGTTCGCTAAAAACATGGAATTATTGAATTTCATGTTGTTTGAGTTCAATAAAAAGAAATCCTTTCATAACAAGTTCAATAAACAGTGATCGTCTTCTGACAAAGTAAAGCTAGTAACTACGGTTTAGCCATGAAATTTCTCTAATCAATTCTCTTCCAAATCTATATTAAGAATTTCATAACAATGAATTGTGTAGAACAGCCGAATATTATAGAAGCGTTTGATAATTTGGTTTCAGCAGTCTTTTATAGGCTTCCCAAGCCTCCTACATGATTTACTTTGCGACAGAGAGCAAGGAGAATGCCCGCCAGTGGAAGTGACTAGTGAACTGGGGAAGATATAATTGTGGTTTACTTGAGCTTGAGATGACTTTTAAAATATGAATAGTACTTTGAATTCATTAAAAACATTTCACAAAATCTGCAGTGTTTGTTTAATTAATAAAGAATAATTTTGAAAACTGGAAAAACTTACAATAAAACTGAAGTTATCAGTATAACAAATGCTTAGATCTTAACTACAAACATGTCCACTGAAGCATTTGTGCCATCTTGCACAAGCAACACAATTCACATTGACATTTGAAGAAGGTAGAACACGAAGCAAGACCAGAAATAACTGAATGAACGGAAGCAAGATTAGGAATATCTGGAGGAATGCTACCTTGAATCTATTATAACCAACTCCTCCTATCAAGATATATACTGTAATGGCCCAGATCCACGGCTAGCAGATATTATCCTCTTTGGAATTTTCCCTTTCGGGCTTCCTCTCAAGGCTTTAAAACGCGTCTGTTAGGGGAATGTTTTCACATCCTTATAAATGGTAGTTTGTTCTCCTCCCCAATCAACGTGGGACATCACAATCCACCCCCCTTCGGGGCCCAGCGTCCTTGCTGGCACTCTTTCCTTCCTCCAATCGATGTGCGACCGCCCTAAATCCACCCCCTTTTGGGGCCAACGTCCTTACTGGCACACCGGCTCATATCTACCCCCCCCTCCCTCGAGGAACAGCGCGAAGGCTGGCACATCGTCCGGTGTTTGGCTCTGATACCATTTGTAACGGCCCAGATCCACCGCTAGTAGATATTGTCCTCTTTCGGCTTTTCCCTTTCGTGCTTCCCCTCAAGGCTTTAAAACACGTCTGCTCGGGGAAGGTTTCCACACCCTTATAAATGGTGGTTTGTTCTCCTCCCCAACCAATGTGGGACATCACATATACTCTCTATAAATTATAGAGAATTTGAAGGTCTATTGCTGCTTGTGTAATGCGTAAATTGGAGGCCATTAAAGGTAACAATTTTTGTAATGTATAGAGCTGTGCATTCTATAATCTTATATCAGAAGGTAGAGGAAGATTTATTTGTACCAAAAAGGCTTGCTGAAGATGGCAGTTGATGGAATTGAACGTGGTAATTCCTAGATTATAGTCATTTTGAACCTTTATAGATGGATTTGTCTAAGGCTAGAGAAGACTAAATGGGATATACTTTAGACAGTGAGTCGTATATGCATTACAAAATCACAGTGAACAAGAAAAGAGCATCAAGACTGTCCAATTCAAATGAGATGATAGAATTTTCAAAACTATTGTGAATGGTAGTATAGTACTGCTTCCGACGAACACTTTGAACAATAATATGCATTATGGAAACATTTGAAGTACCTTGCCGTGCATTCCCTCGATAGCTTTTTGAGATTCCTCTTCAGTAGCATAACGGAGGAACGCAAATCCTCTGGGTCTATTGGCTACTTTATCCATCACCAAATTGACTGAAATTTATAACAATTGATAAAAGTTAGGGCCAAATATCAACGATTTCACTTTATTGACAAAACGGAACGTTCATAATATACAATTGAAGCAGTCAACGACCTTCTACAAGTTGGCCAAAGCTTGTGAAAGCATTTCGCAGACTCTCTTCAGTGGTCCGAAACGAAAGTCCTACACTCATGGAATTGGAACCATTCGATAAATCCAAATTGCATTTACATACATAGCAAAATTACGCCTAAATGAAGGGGAAAATACGCAATTGAGAGGAAGAAAATCAACCACTAACGTAGAGCCTGGTTGAAGGCGAGTATCTTCTGGGAGAAGGCGAAGGTGAAGAAGAGACGCAGGTCACAGAAAAGAGCGGCGAGTCTGAAATTGAACGAGTCTTCTTCACAGAGAAGAAAGGGGGTGGCGTAGTACTGTAAGCTAATTTGGATTGAATGCTTTGAATTCGCATGCGCGTCACGGTTGAACGGATATCGTTATAGTCAATGGACTGAAGCTGAAAGAACGGTATTGGAGCAGCTGAGAATAGCAATCCGGCGGTCATTTTCGTCTTCTCCGGCGCTTCAGCCGAAAGCCGGTGAAACAATTTCAGGAATTCGTAATCCGGAAGATTGAGGATCGTACCCATTTTCTTTTTCTTTTTTTTTTTTTTTTTTTTGCGAATCTACACCTCTGTAACGACGACGTTTTGCGGATCTACAACCCTGTAACGACGACGTATCAGTGCATAGTTTGATTATAAATTTAGTTTTGGATGAATTATAAAATGCTGTTTATTTATTTATTTCAGTAAAATTTGTTCCGTCACTACTTCTTCGTCCGCTCATCTCTAGCTTCTCTTCCCTGTAATTTCTTTCTCAATATCGTCTACAATCCTCTCAGATCACCTTCTCTCCTGCATTTTTCCTCTCAGATCACCTTCTCTCCTGCATTATTCCTCTCATATCACCTTCTCTCCTGCATTATCCCTTCAACCTCCTTGCTTAAACTGTGCACTAAATTTCAGTATTGAAACGTTTTTCTTCAGGAGCAGCTTCCCCTGCATCATACCGCCGGCGTTTACCTTTTGGACTTTGTGGCTCCTTATGGATTTGTTCAGGACCTATATTCGACAGCTAACAGGTGCTTCTGATCGTCCGTGCCCCATTCTTTATGGTTGTTGTGTTTTAGTTGCACGTGTAATGTTATTCCTATGTTAAAGAACTTTTACCGATAGACTATCCAACGTGGTTAATTTTTCCATGTGGAGGGAAGGAGCTGATGCAAATGTGATATTTTTTGTCGATATCTGTAATTGCAAGTGTTCTGAACTTTCATGTGTATGGATATCTATGGAGCAAATTGTGTCTGTGCCAGTTCCATGGAGGGTTCTCTTTCTTGATGTTATTATGATTACTTAGAATGATCTCTCTCAGTTCAGCGATGAGTGGTCATTTCGTCAAAATGCGACTGAAGTTATAGGTATTCAGAGAAGTGGAGCTACAATAGCTTTTGACTATTTCAAGCATTTGCCAATGCAAGATGTTTGTGGGAACTTTGACATTNTTTTTTTTTTTTTTTTTTTTTTTTTTTTTTTTTTTTTTTTTTTTTTTTTGCGAATCTACACCTCTGTAACGACGACGTTTTGCGGATCTACAACCCTGTAACGACGACGTATCAGTGCATAGTTTGATTATAAATTTAGTTTTGGATGAATTATAAAATGCTGTTTATTTATTTATTTCAGTAAAATTTGTTCCGTCACTACTTCTTCGTCCGCTCATCTCTAGCTTCTCTTCCCTGTAATTTCTTTCTCAATATCGTCTACAATCCTCTCAGATCACCTTCTCTCCTGCATTTTTCCTCTCAGATCACCTTCTCTCCTGCATTATTCCTCTCATATCACCTTCTCTCCTGCATTATCCCTTCAACCTCCTTGCTTAAACTGTGCACTAAATTTCAGTATTGAAACGTTTTTCTTCAGGAGCAGCTTCCCCTGCATCATACCGCCGGCGTTTACCTTTTGGACTTTGTGGCTCCTTATGGATTTGTTCAGGACCTATATTCGACAGCTAACAGGTGCTTCTGATCGTCCGTGCCCCATTCTTTATGGTTGTTGTGTTTTAGTTGCACGTGTAATGTTATTCCTATGTTAAAGAACTTTTACCGATAGACTATCCAACGTGGTTAATTTTTCCATGTGGAGGGAAGGAGCTGATGCAAATGTGATATTTTTTGTCGATATCTGTAATTGCAAGTGTTCTGAACTTTCATGTGTATGGATATCTATGGAGCAAATTGTGTCTGTGCCAGTTCCATGGAGGGTTCTCTTTCTTGATGTTATTATGATTACTTAGAATGATCTCTCTCAGTTCAGCGATGAGTGGTCATTTCGTCAAAATGCGACTGAAGTTATAGGTATTCAGAGAAGTGGAGCTACAATAGCTTTTGACTATTTCAAGCATTTGCCAATGCAAGATGTTTGTGGGAACTTTGACATTGGTTCTTTCTATCACAGAGTGCTGAATGGATTTGAGCGCATGAGGAGGCTTTATGAATACATGGAGGATGGGGATCTTTGGAGGTGGAGTCTCCCAAATAGTAAAGCTCTAAGCAGTGGGTTGAAAGACTTGAATATTGAATATGAGACCCTGTTGAATCCTAGCTTATTTGATTAGGTAATTTGTTGCGAGTCTGTTCAAACTTGCTTGTCTAAACGTCAGATGTCTTTTTTGTGCTTGGATTATAAACTTTTGATAAAGAAAGAATCCAAGTAGCTGCAAAATCCTGATGGCTTCTAGATAACCTAGATTGTTTGATGGTTCATTTGATCGCTTATATGTTTTGAAAAACACTGAATTGAAGAATGCAGAGCTTTTCAATCTCTCAAGATAAGTGATTTTCTATCATGTATTGATTTTCTTAATTTTCAAACAAATGCTACTTGTTCTTAGACTTTAGTTAGCTTCCTTGCATCCTCCCTCTTTCTCCCTCTCTTGTAATTTGTCTGCATTCTCTCTTGGATGACTAAAATAAGTCAGTATCACTAGAGATAACGAGTGTATCACACAAACAAAAATTAATAAACGATGCTCGTAATCAATTGTATAACATTACACTTGGTGGTGGAGCTTTTCAACATTGCCCGGTAAGTCCCTGATCTCACTGAATTGGAATTTTAGATTAAATATTACTTATCATGTTGTCTGAATTATCAATTAAACAAGTAGTTCGTTAGTTGGCTTGATTATAATATTTGTTTTGAATTCAAGAAACGAATTGTGTTTGAGGTCTTTGGTTTTCATCATGAGCCTGAATTTTTCTTTTCAATTGGCTGAAATTTTCTTTACCAAATGATTAGTCATCAATTCACAGTCCATGCTAGTCGGTCCCCATTAAATTATGGAAGAGAATGGATCAGAAAATTGGGAAATAATTAAGATTAAGACATAGGCCAAAGTAAAGAATCTTTTGATTGGTAGCATGAATGCTTCTGTACTCTCCTCCTCATAAAGTTGTTATGTCTTAGTGATTGTCGATTATTTTGTATTCGTAACTTACGGAAGCAATAGCAATTCGACTTACTGCTAACTAACCACATTGATTCCATCTTCCTTTCTGGCTTGAATCCTTGACATTTGTCCTGTTTTCATTTTCTCCTCAATTTAAATGTGACCTTTCCATTTTGATATCCCACATTGATTAGGGGGAGAACGAAACACCCTTATAAAGGGTGTGAAATTTTTCCCTAGCAAACGCGTTTTAAAGTCTTGAGGGGAAGCTCGAAAGGGAAAACCCAAAGAGGACAATATTTGCTAGCGGTGTGCTTGGGCCGTTACACTCTGTAATTCTTGTAGATTCTTGTAGACGACACTGTAATTCTTGTAGAGACATTGGGCCATTGTATACCAAGTCCCTGCACTTGGGAATGATCAGGTGTTGAAGATAAGTCTTAGAATTGTGCCCGACGAATACACAAGTATCTCACAGGTTGAATGCTTCCTCTTATCTTTAGAAATCAAACATTAATTCAATGATGAGCTAATAGTGAATTCTTTTTTCGATCTCAACCTTTTTCCTTCCATTTCTCAGGAATTTGAAGGTGAGGGCCATAAAAATGCGAGCTCCTTCATGTTAAGCTCCACAGAATTCCAGAAGTGGAAGATTTGAATAAGGCACAAAAGTATGCAAGCTTGAAGTGAACTTGGTCTTGGAGGATTTTGTGTGCCTTACTCTTGTCATTAAATCTAGGCGGTGTTTGAGATGGCTCAACCGTGAAACTTAAAGTACGATCATCAAGATGTAAGTCTTTGGTTGTTCTTGATGCTATGGATTGGTTTAGGTAAAAATGGAAAAAAGAAAAAAGAAATCAGTATATATGATGTTGTTTTTATTTTAAGTAACACCCAGAGATCAGATAATTCACCAAGAAAAGGTGAAACCAAAATATATTCCATAGAGTCTTGTATTCTACTTGATTTAGTTTGACCCTACAGAAGTCACCAACCAAACCCACAATCCAAAACACATAATCTACAGATGGAAATTGACAAATGTGACCATCTTTTTCCTCGCTCTTTCTTCCCAATCCCATCAACTCGTATTATATATAGAGAGAGATACATGTATTAATAATTATTATAGTAAAAGGAAAAAAATATACCAACCATTAAATCTATAAATTATTAGCAACCAATATGGTTTCAATTGGTGAATGTCAGGTGAGAAAGCTCGTCAAGGCCAATGGCTGATGAATTGGAAGCACACCATGCATCTTCTGTAATGAATTGCATCCATGAATCGTCCTTCTCTTCTTCTTCCACACAAGAAGATGAAGCTGCCATCAGAACATCAGGTGACAAATTTTCATAATCATTGACTAATGTTTGTGATGTTGAGTTTGAGTTGTGATGATCCATAAATGACAGACTGCTTTGCCCACCTTGTTCTTCAACTTCCGAACATATTCCATTTTTCTTGAACACTCTACACAAGGCGTAAGAATCCTGCAACAACCCCATACAAAAACACTTGCAATTTTTCATCTCATTTCTGATTGTCTTTTGACTTTATCTCTTTTCTTTAATCTGTTTCCATTATGTGATCTAAGATGGTATCTTGTGAAATGAACTGCTTATAGAAAAAACAGAGTATGTGTGACAAGTTGAACAAAACTTTAGAAAGGTATTTTGGGAGATTTTAGTGATTGGAATAAAGGGAAAAGTGAGAGAGAGACATGTTCTTACAACAGAAAAAGCAAATCATGGGGGACTCTTCTCTCTCTTCCTCTCTCTGGGGAATCCAACTTAGAGAATAGAATAGATCATCAAAAATGCTGGAAAGATGGAATATATTAAACTACAAATAATAGGCTCTGTGTGTGGTTCAAGTCATAGGGTATAGCACTTTTGTCTCATTTTCCATATGAAAACAAAACCCAACCCCAACTTTTATCACTTGAAAGATCCTAGTACAAGTAAAGAATATGTATGTCACTCTACATGGTGTCGTTCATAACCATTTGATTTTTTTATTGTTTAGATTGAGGCCAAGGGCTTTAGCTTTCGGTGAAGTCGTTTGATGTTTCACCATAGTTGTAGCCTTAGTATAGGAAGGTGGAAGAATATATATAGCAAACTTTAAGGAGCTTGCTTTCTATCTCCAACCAATGCCAAAGGAAAAGTGTGGAGTGGGTGAAAAAAAAAGTGAACTCAAAAAATCTTTGTCGATGTTCTATCTTCTAAAGAAGAATATGATTGCAAAGAAACAAAAATCAAAAGAGCAAGAAAGAAAAGAAAGATACAACCAAATCCAAAGAAGCTGGTAATCATTGTGAATGGGAAAAAGTTGACTGTGGGAGAGTGAAAAAAAGGAACACATGTATCCAAATTCTTTCAAATGGGTTAGTTATTCAAATTAAAGCTAATGTTCCATATTTCAAATCCAAAAATAATGTTTATACCTGAATGCCGGAGTTGTCCTCATAGTCTTTATCGTCTAGGCGATATTCATGCATGACCCAGTCGGTCCTTATGCCTTGAGGTGCTCGGCCTCTGTAGTAAACTAGTGTCTTCTTCATCCCAATGGCTCGGTTTTGAGACGAGACTCTCCTATCTTTTCCAGTTGATTTCCAGTAGCCTGCTCTCGTAGCTCGGTTTGTTCTAAACCCATTTGGATATTTTCTATCCCGTGGCCCAAAGAAGTACCATTCTGGGTCTCTACTTGGAAGAAATGACTTTTCTACAACAAGTATGAATTGTAGTTTCTCAATTATCCACGTGTCAATCTAAACATAACTCAATTGATATAAGACATAAAGACAGAAACAAAGAAAGTAAAGTTAAGTAACCTGATAATTCCCAAGGCTCACATTTGTAGAGATCGACCTCGGGAATGATATCGAGCTCAATTTCTTGGCCACTTATCTTCCTCTTGAGATAGTAGTTGACAAGCTCTTCGTCGGTGGGATGGAACCGAAAGCCTGGAGGCAAGCCCACTGGCGCCATTGATTCCTTTTGAGTTGGTAACCAATTGGTGGATTGAGAACTCTTTCCCCACATCGTTAAAACTCCCTATATATAAAAGAGGATTCAAAGTAACTTCTTCTCTTTGGGATCGTTTTCTTTTCTTTTCTTTTCTTTTTCTTTTGTTTTTTGGCCTCTCCCTCTCCCTTTCTCTTTTGTAGATTCTTGGACAAACGTTTCACACAAGCCCTTTATTTCTCTCTTAATAGATATTGTCCACTTCAGCCCATTACATATCGCCGTCAGCCTCACAGTTTTAAAATGTGTTTGCTAGTGAGAGGTTTCACACGCTTATAAGAAATGTTTCGTTCCCCCTTTCTAACCGATGTGGGATCTCACACTTCGGCCCATTACATATCACAATTTTAAAACATGTCTAGTAGTGAGAGATTTCCACACCCTTATAAGGAATGCTTCTTTCCCCCTCCCTAACCGATGTGGGATCTCACACTTCGGCCCGTTACTTATTGTCATCAGCCTCAAGGTTTTAAAACGTATCTGCTAGGAAGAGGTTTCCACCCCCTTATAAGGAATGTTTCATTCCTTTCTCCAACCGACATAAGATCTCACATTCATAATCAACCATATTTGGAATGGTAGCACCATGCGTGCCGCGACATTGATACTCCTCATGTTTCTTTCTTCTTGTTTTTCAATATTCCTTTCGATCCTTAAAGGGCTCTCTGTTTTAAGTGTGTTCATCAATTTTTCACTTTCTGGGTCTTAATTAATTATGTGTTTGAATATGCCTCAACACTTCTTATCACTTAATTATCATCATTCATTAATTAACAATACAAAGATGGGAGAGTCCCATCCTTATTTGACAGGAAACAAAAATTCCAAGTGGTCAACACCTTGAGCGTGGTGAGCAGCGCAGGGCGCCGGAAGAGCTTGTCAATGACCGCAACCACTTGGCGTCTACCACTGGGAAGCGCTGCAGGGCATTGTAATTTGGCTTGACACCGCCTCGGCCAGCGCCGATCTGTGCGAAGGAAGCGCCGTTTTCAAAAACGTCTCTTACTGAATGGAACTTCCACTTGGCGTTCTCTACTTTGCCTGTGCTCCATATGATCTGCATTTTATGATTTTCAAATAAGCATTTGTTGTTGTTTGGTAAGAAAAGGCTCAATTTTTTAACCAAATATGGAGTTTTGATATATTGTTGTTGTTATTATTATTGCCTGTTTTGATTTCGATGCTATGAAAAGGTTGGCTTCACTCTTCACACTAGGATTCATGCTGCCTCCAATTGCGTATTGTGTCCAACCTTGGTACAAATTGTTCGCCACGTGTGCATACCCGTATCGAATCCTGTATTTTCATACCAAATTTTGTTAAATTAATAAAAAAGAAAATATCCGTAAACTTTATATTATGTCTCAAAATTATAAATTTATAAGAATTTCAATATTACCTTTAAACTTTAAAAAATATAGTTACCGTTAATAATTTATTTCAAAATATCTTTGAATTTTTAAAAGTTTCGTTGTACTTTTCAAGTAAAAAAACTGAAAAATACTCTTACCATTAATACTATATTTAATAATTATCCGTGAACTTTTGTAAAATAAAATTAAAAAGTTATTATTGTAACGGAAAATGTCTATCTATACCTCATATGTCATCTCTATCTTCAATTTTAAGGCATATGTCATCTCTATCTTCAATTTTAAGAGTACCGTATTAAAATTTTTAGTTATTGTTTTTAAAGGTACTAACAATTTCGTCCATATATGAATTATTTTTTAACTTTTTAAAAAAATTAATTTTTTTTTTTTAAAAAAGGCTCGATATCAATAAAACTTAAGAAAGATATTTTTTAAACTTTTTTTTAGCATGTTTTAAAACAAATTATTAGTAGTTTTCCTCCAAAATTAACAATGAAGATATTTTTTTTAATTTATTCTAAAGTTTAACGTATTTTTTAGTTTAAGAATATTATTAAAAAATTTGAAAAATTTAAAGAGTATTTTTAAGATAAAATACAAAATTTACAAATATTTTTATTAATTTAATCTTAAAATTTATGTTATGTTTTGATACCGTGTTAAATGTTACCTGGGCATCCGTTGGTTGCAATTAGGTCCGAAATGGTTATAAACGAGAGTAACCTTCATGTTTCGGTCCCGAAAATAATCATCGTCGTGACCCAAAAGTATAACCTTATCTTGATCTCTCAACCAATTGTTAGAAATGGTGATATCAGTAGAGCCTCTAGTGACATCAATCAGCCCATCCTCACACCGATACAGCGTGTTATGGTCAATCCAAATCTTAGAAGCACTAACCAAACGAATGGCATCACCGTCCACGTGTCCCAACGAAACGATCTTCGAACCCGGCCCCATTACACGGCCAGCCGCCTGGGCCTTGCAATGGTGGATAATAAGCCCATGGATTATGACATTGGTGGCTCTAGACACCATCAGACACGCATTCCCCGTGATGTGCACGGTGGCGCCACGGCCGTCGATGGCCGTGTAGCTGCTAATAATAAGCGGCTTGTTGAGCACAATGTGCATGTCTTTTTGAAACGTGATCCACACTTTGGGTTTGATCATTGTGGCGCCGTATCTGAGGGTGCCTGGGCGTGGGGTTAGTGGGTCGTCGCTGGGGTCCGTGACTTGGTAGTGTACGAGGTTTCTTCCGATGTTGTTGGTCATTTTTCCGACGAACCCAATTGAACAAAGGGCGAGCTTTTGCCTGTTTTTTCTCCAGTATGGGTTCGGTCGCCAGCATCGGTCGATAGCGTTCATGTTCATGGCGCGGGCTTCGGTGTGGGAAACGGCAGCGAGGAGTGCCACGGAAATGAGCGACAGGATAATGAGCTGAGTGGCCATGTTTGGTGGTTGTTGTGTTGGTGGTGATGAATTGTGGGAATGGTCAAATTTATATGAAGAGAAGAGAGGATCCGAGGTGCAGTTACTCGTATTAGAGAGTTTCATTTATTCATTTAAATGGAGTTTTAAATGTTTAAAAAAAAAACGTTTTTAAGCACTTGAAAAACGATTCCGAATCAGCTCAAAATCATTGGATTTACTACGTGTTCGTATTTGTTGAACTACGAAAAATCAATCTTATATTACTAAAATTTGGACGTGGAGTATGTGTCGTGTATAACTTTTAGAACTTACTAAGCTTAATAACTTAAGAAAAAGAATTGCATAAACGCATACCACTGATTCAGACGTGTTAAACTTAACGTAAAACTTGATATGTGGATTTTGTTAGATGAATACGACTCTGATATGATATTGTCTATTTGAGCATACCAGACAGTATTCTAATCCATAATCATTCCCTAAATTAGCCAATCATGGCTCACAGTACTTTTGTTCGACATTTGAGGATTCTATTGACATAAGTAAGTTTAGAGCATGACTCTGATACCATGTTATATGAACACGACTCTCCACAATGGTACGATATTGTTCACTTTGAGCATAAGATCTCATGACTTTGCTTTGTGATTCCCCAAGAGATCTCATCCCAATAGAGACAGTATTCCTTAGTTATAAACTCATGATCATTCCCTAAATTAACTGACTTTCATTCCATAAATTTAACCTGTAAGACTGAGGCTTGTGGTGACCCTCCCCAAATAAGACTATAAATTCTTTTTTAAACGGAGAATATGGGAGAGATTTCTTCATGTTAACTAAAGAATACGTGATTATATTCCCTCGTCTCCCCCTCTCATCCTTTTATGTACAAATAGTAAATATATAAATAAATGTTAAATTTATTGAAAATATGGTGTAATATTGGAATTTAAATTTTAAAAATTATGTTTAACTTTTTGTTCGTGTTATGTTTTTATTTATAAAATATTATTGAATAAAAATTATATTAAAAATGATAAGGATAATTATCCTGTTTTTTTAAAAGGAATTTATTTACATTTTTCAGAATTTTGTAGAGATTATAAATGAAAGTGTAAAATTGAAAACAATATTCAATCAAAATTTGAGACAATAGATTAAGTAAGATATAATTAAAAAAAAAAAAAATTGAGAGGTAGCCGTTAGGGTTGTCGAGAGTCCAGACCATAGTTTAAGGGGCCGTTGTGGAGGTCGAGCATGTGAGCGTAGCGGGCCAAACCTTGTAACCCTCAATAATTCGTGGATGCAACAAACAAATATTTAAATATTTACCTATAATAAAGATGAAATAAATATGATATATATGATAAAATATAATTCAATACTAAATATCTTTAATAATATCCAATTCTGAACAAATATCGAATATTTACAAGTTACAATGCATCACTAACATCTATTAATTTCAAATATTATTAATTTTCGTAACAAATTAAAGAGTAGGTCGTATTGTCAACCCTTATTTTCAAATGGTCTAGTTGATAGATTCAACCTACTAACTGGAACTAAATTTTTTATTTTCAACAAGTTCTAACTCAATCTAAAAAATAAACTCAATAAGTACGTTAGTGTTAACTATCCAAATTATTCGAACATTATTAAGGTAAACGAGATATTAATTAAATGTAATAGTTCAGATTCACCGCTAGCAGATATTATCCTCTTGGAGCTTTCCCTTTCGGGCTTCCCTTATATATAACCAAATGAAATTCAAACAAGTAGAGATTTTAAAAAATTCAAATATGTTAAATATATATTTATTTGAAGTGTGACATGTAATAAATAAATAAATAAAATCATTAATGATATTATTTAAATCATGAATTAAATAAAAGCAAGGATAAAAACGTCTTAAAAAACTCGTCCAACGTGCTTCCTTTTAATATAACAATGATATTGATGTGTGTTCACATAAAGCAACTTAGCACTTAATTTTGATTACAACAAAAGGTAGAAAAAAATAATAAAGAGGGAAAATAATGAAAGATGTAATTTGATTGGACATTTATTAAATTGTGTGTTGAAAAGGGGTATGCATATGCCTTCCATTGGAGAATCTCTCGTCCAACGCCAATTTTTCGTAAAGTATTTTTATCTGCATATTCTCGAATATCAAGAACGGAGCGTTTTTTCTCTCTCTTTACTGTCTCTCTAGTTTCAAGAATGAGTAACTCCCTTCTTCGACCGTTTCTGTTCAACGAAAACTCTCACTTTACTCCACCGGAGAAGTAGACGTTATGTAAAACTTTAACGATAAGATGTAAATAGGGGTTGTTCATAAAATCGGTTAACTCGTAAAATTCGATCAACCCAACCCGTATGGTTTGATTTGGATTGTGTTCTTCTAAAATCAGGATAGGTTGAAGTGAAACCATTCCAATTTATTAATATATTAAAAAAAATTATAATATAATTATATATATATATTTTTTTTTATTTTAACTCATAATTATTTTTTTATTTATTTATTCTCTCACTCTTAAGTAAAAATTTTAAAATATATATTAAAATTGAGTTGTAAATTTTAATTAAATATTTAAAAATAAATGCATTATAATTGACTTTATTAAAAACAAAAAATTGAATAACAACATGAACCTAATTTAGTTGAATTAGAGTGGCTATGTTTATTTAATAAAAGTTGTTTAATTAAAAATTTCATAATTTAAATAATTAAGTTAAATCTAAAAATATGTAATTTCACAGTAAATCATAAATATATTTTATTGATGGAGGTAAGTTAAATAGGTGATTATTGTAATTATTTGTAAAACTACATTTAGTTTATTTTTAATAAATAGTTTTGGGCAACACAAAGATGGCTTAATTTAATTTAATGCAAGTGGATGAAATAAATATATAACTAAAAATATTTATATTTCCAATTACGTACAAGTGACATGGATACAAGATTTGACTTTATTAGTTTTTTTAACATAATTTATTTATCTTATTTTATCTTTTATTGTATTATTGGTAAATTTTAGGTTAAAATTACTTTCTATAATTTTTCATAGGTATCATTTATTTATAATAATAATAACTACGATAATAGTACTTTATTATTGTAGTTGATTTCGTCATATTGATATCATTATTGGATGTCAATTATGTCACATTTACTCATCAAAATTATTATTTTTAAATAGACAATAGTTTTTTTGGTTAGAATAAATAATAATATTGAATTTTAATAATATTTTTCATAGTTTTTTAGGGATAGAAGTCGTTTTGTTTTATAATATAATTATAAGATTTTAATGAGTTTTATTTATTGAAAAATAAATAAATATTTTTATATTAATTTAATATGAGAAGTATTTTATATATTTGAGTAAAGTCTTTTGCTATTAGAAGGTAAAAACTGCTAAATGATTTTCTAACTTTTATAATTATTATAATAAAATATTCAAATAAATTTGTTATTTTAAATAAGAATTTCAAATAAATACAAATCCTCCAATCATGGGAGGGATTCATGGTACAGAAGGAAACCACGATGGGTTGGTTTTATGTATTTTAATTTTAATAAATTATATTTTAATTTCCCCTATTAAATGAAACAAACCATCCGTATTTTTTTAATTATATATGGTGTAGTTGGCGGTCATTATTTATTTTTTTTTTAATTTTTAAATGGCTAAATTAATAAAAAAAAAATACTTCTCAAATATAATTGGTCTAACGAATTTTTCATTAATATCTATAATTTAAAAAAAAAAATTTTTTTTTTAGTGTCGTTAAAAAAATACATATGAACTTTTAAAAATAATATTAAAGTCTTTAATTTTTATAATTTTTTAAACAATTCTTACCGTTATGAAACATTTATAGAAATTTAAGGATATTTAATGTTATTTTTTTTTAAAGTTTTAAGAATATTTTTTTAATAATTTTAAAATTTTAAATTATTTTTTAAAGATATTAACGCACCTTTTAAAAGATTCAAATGTATTTTTAAAGTAATGCAAATGGTTAATGTTTTTTTAATTAGTTATAAGATATTTTTGAGATAAATGATATATTTTTATTCATTTTTGAATAAAAGAAATGAAATCAACAAAAAAAATGCAATTATAATTCATGGGGGAGTGGCTAATATTGATATTAGCCTGATTAAAAATTTAACATTTTAAAAAAAATAAAAGTAAATAAAATTAACAAACATGTAGTTATAATTAATTAGAAAAAAGGGTGGCTAATATTAATAATTAGCCTGATTGAAAACCGTTTACAATAATAATTAAATTGACCATTATTAGGTGGTCTAGCCGGAGCGTGAGAAACACTCGCTAATAATAGGACACGTGTCGAATGCATAGAGCGAGTAAAGAAATAGAGATTTGGAGTTGTGGCAGGTGATAGTGGCGTGGTGGTGGTATGAAGAGAGGAGTCTGAGGCAATCATGTGAGATTCGGCCCACTCCCCGTTTACCGCATTGTACCGTTCCGTTCCACTTACTGGAAGGGACCCACCACCAACCTGGAAAATACACGTAAGCAAAAGAAGAGACTTGCCACGTAATAAGGTAAACCAGTGAGAGTGTTGAAATATGCCACGGAGGACGGACGAGGGGTTATCGGCAATAATTAAGATTGTTTTAACATGCGGATTTATTTATTTAAATAAAATAAAATAAAATAATAATAATTTATAGAGGAGAGGAATGGAGTTGTCTTTTTCGAAGACCTACCGGGTGCTTTTATATGTAGGGTGTGGGAAGGATTATAGGGTGTCCTTCCAAAAGCAGGTGAAAGTGAACCAGGGAGGAGGATCGAGGAGAGTTCGAGGCGAAG